TCAGCTTGTTCTTTTTGTGAATTTTGAAATACTGAAAATAATTTGATTTACCAACTGCTGTTATTGACTATGTTCACCAGAATAATTATTACTTGTTAAAATCTATTAGGAATATATATTAGAAAGTTTCTATAACAAATTGATATTATGGCAAAGAGCATGGAATCCAGAATCACTTTATGATTTTAATTTCAGCTGTGAGACTTATTAGCTGAGCTTTAATTTCCTCATATAAATTGAGGATAAGGACAACTATTTACAGGATTCTTATAAGGAAAAATTAGGTAATATGAAATATTCTGTACAATGTGTGGCATGTAGTCATTGCAAACCATTTATATCAGCAAATGTTACCTTTTTCAGGTCTTGTTTTTCAAATGCTTAACTTTCAAGTTCGTAGCAATTGGAAGAAATTGTATATATTTTTAAAATGCAGACGGTTATACTTAGATTGCATTGGTGCTTTGAAAATTAAAGATAATGTGTCTGTAAAATACCTAGTGTATAGGAGTGTAATAAGTGAGAACAATATTCTGTTTTAAAATCAAGCTATATAGGCCAGACAAGGTGGCTCACGCCTGTAATCCCAGCATTTTGGGAGGCTGATGTGGGTGGATCATGAAGTCAGGAGTTCAAGACCAGCTTGGCCAAGATAGTGAAACCCCGTCTGTACTGAAAATCCAAAAATTAGCCAGGCATGGTGGCAGGTGCCTGTAATCCAGCTACTTGGGAGGCTGAGGCAGAGAATTGCTTGAACCCAGGAGGCAGAGGTTGCAGTGAGCCGAGAGGATGCCGCTGCACTCCAGCGTGGGAGACAGGGCAAGACTCTGTCTAAAAAAAAAAAAAAATCAAGCTATGTGGATAACTCCCATATAAACTATTTTGCTAAAAACAGTTTTTGATGATTTTTTTTTTTTTTTTTAAAGAGAGAGAGTCTTACTTTGCTGCCCAGGCTGGAGTGCACTGGTGCCATTGTGGCTCGCTGCAGCCTTGATCTTCTGGGCTTCAGTGATCCTTCCACCTCAGCCTCCTGAGAAGCTGGGGCTACAGGTGCATGGCACCACACCTGCCTAATGATTTTATTTTTTGTAGAGATGCAGGTCTCCTGTGTTGCTGAGGCTAGTCTTAGGCTCCTGGCTGCAAGCCATCCTCCTCTTACCTTGGACCCCCAAAGTGTTGGGATATTACAGGCATCAGCCACTGTGCCTGGGCCCAAATATTTTTGTTTTTAAAAACAAACTATGTTGATAATGAAAAAGGTGTTATTGTAGTAGTTGCCTTGCCTTACAACCATAGCTTAGGGAATTTTTTGCTTAATAGAGCTGGCTTTCAAAAGCCATGTTGCAATTCAGTGCTGAAAATTAAGCAGTTTGATGTAACAATATTAGTGTAGTTACTGTGATAATGACTTTTAAGGTGACTGGGTTTTTATAAAAATTAAAAAATTAAAAGATGAAAAAACAGAAAAATATAACAAAATAAGGAAAGCAATGAGAAAACAAATAAAGAAAAAAATTACATTAAGAAAACTGAAAGTAGCTGGGAGTGGTGGCTCATGCCTATAATACTGGTAACTTAGGAGGCTGAGGCAGGAGGGTTGCTTGAGGTCAGAGTTCAAGGCCAGCTTGGGCAACATAATAAGATTCCATCTCTACACACAAAAAAATTGAAAAAACTTAGCCAGGCATGGTGGCACGTGCCTGAAGTCTCAGCTGCTTGGGAGACTGAGGCAGGAGGATTGATTGAGCCCAGAAATTTGAGGCTGCAGGGAACTGTGGTGGTGCCACTGGACTCCAGTCTGGACAATAGAGCAAGGCTCCAAATCTAGGGGCAAAAAAAAGCAAGTAATATTTACTTATTATATATAATGTGGAAAGTATACTAAAATGTAAACAAGGTAGTAATTGCTCATAATTTGAAAACCCTGACATGGCATTGTTGATATTTTTGTATTTTTTCTTCTACTTATGCAATGGATATAAATTTATATATATATCATCCACCATACAGACACACACACACTCACACACACACACACATTTTAATCTGTGTTTTTCATTTGACATTGTATCAGGAATGTGTTCATGTTTTAAAATACTTTTGGGAACACCAAAAAAAGATATACATTTATTGCTCCAAATTCCAGTAAATATGATGGTTCGGCTAAAATAAAAATAATCTCATATTAAGCAGTACGTATGTAATCGCTGCAAATCTTTAGTGACAGTTTCATATAAATGGTATTATTTATATTTTGTTTACACTCAGCAGCATGTCAGGAACCTCTTCACATCAATAAGTATAAGTGCATATCAACTTTAAGGGCTTTGTGAGTATGCTTAGTTTCCTTTTTGAAAAAAAAAATTTTTAAAGTGCTCGTCTACTGTCAACAATTTTCCTTGTCTTTCTTCTTTTTTTGGTCTGAAAATGTTCTATTTTTTTCTTCGCTTTTGAAGCATATGTTTTGCTGGATATAGAATTTTAGATAGACATTAATTTATTTTCCATAATTTAAAGGTGTCATTTCGTTATTTTTTAGCTTTTCTTGTTTTTGTTGTGAAGAAAGCAGTCAACCTTATTGTTGCTTCTTTGAAAATAATGGAATTTTTAACTTCTGGCTGCTTTTAAGTTTTTCTTTTTATCTTTTGATTTTCAGTAGCCTTAGAGTGAGGTGCTGAGGAGAAGTTTTCTTTGTTTTTTTGTTGCCTGAGGTTTGTAGAGATTCTTAAATCTGTGGGTTGGTGTCTTTTATCAGTATTGGAAAATTCTTAGCCATTATCTGTTTATATATAAAATTTTTGTTCTATTCTGTCTCTCCTCTCCTCCTGGTACACTTGTTATACTTGTGTTCAATGCTTTTGTTTCCATTGTGTTCCATATACTTGTTAGGACTTTTTTTCTTTTGTAGTTTACATTGTTTTTCTCTCTGACCTTCAATGAGATATTTTCTGTTAATTCATCTTTAGTTTCTAGTCTTTTCCTTTTTTTTTATTTTAAATTTTTATTTTGAGACAGTGTCTCACTCTGTTTCCCAGGCTAGAGTGCAGTGGCACTAACACTGCTCACTGCAACCTCAGCTTCCTGGGCTCAAGAGGTCCTTCCACTTCAGCCTCCTGAGTAGCTGGGACTACAGGCATATGTCACTATGCCTGGATAATTTTTAAGTTTTCTGTAGAGGTGGGATCTTGCCATGTTGTCTTGAGCTTCTAGGCTCAAGTGATCCTCCCATCTAGGCCCCCACAAAGTGCTGAGATTACAAGTGTGAGCTACTGTCCCTGGTACTCATCTTTTCTTCTGGTATGTCCCATTTGCTGTTAAAACTATCTACTGAGATTTTTAAAACAAGCTTTTAATTTTAGAATTGCTGTAGACTTATGGAAACATTTCAAAGCTAGTATAGAGCGTTCCTGTATACTCTTCACCTATTTCCCCTATTTTAACATCTTACTTTAGTATGGTACATTTGTTTCAACTAAGGAATCAACATTGGTACAGATATACCCCAGAGATATTGTGGGTCAGTTCCAGACCACTGAGATAAAGCCAGTATTGCAATAAAGTGAGTTGCATGAATTTTTTGGTTTCCCCGTGCTTATAAATGTTATGTTTACATTATACCATGGTCTATCAAATGTGCAATAACGTGTTAAATGTACGTATCTTAATCTTATAACTGTATCACAAAAAAATGCTAACACATCATCTGAGCCTTTAATGAGTCATAATCTTCTTGCTCGTGACAACATGACATCCAAGATCACTGATTCAATCAGCTGCGGTGGCTCACTCCTGTAATCCCAGCACTTTGGGAGGCTGAGGTGGGCATATCACCCGAGGTCAGGAGTTCAAGACCAACCTGGCCAACATGGTGAAACCCCATCTCTACAAAAATACAAAAATTGACTGGGCATGATGGCAGGTGCCTGCAATCTCAGCTACTCAGGAGGCTGAGGCAGGAGAATCGCTTGAACCCGGAAGGCAGAGGTTGCAGTGAGCCGAGATTGCAGCATTACACTCCAGCCTGGGTGACAGAGTGAGACTCTGACACACACATACAAAAAGATCACTGATTAGAGATCACTATACAGATATAACAATAAAATGCTTGAAATATTGCAAGAATTGGCTGGGCATGGTGGCCTGTAATCCTGGCACTTTGGGAGGCCAAGGCGGGAGGATTGCTTGAGTCCAGGAATTTGAGACCAGTCTGGGCAACATAGCAAGACCCTGTCTCTACAAAATACTAAAAGAAAATTAGCCAGACATGGTGACTCCTGAGTAGCTACTCAGGAGGCTGAGATGGGAAGATCTCTTGAGCCTGGGAGGTTGAGGCTGCAGTGAGCTGTGATCACACTACTGCATTCAGCCCCATAGGTGACAGAGTAAGACACGTTTCAAAAAAAAAAAAAGAAAAAAGTAAGTAAATAAATATGAAGACATTTTGCAAGAACTACCAAAA